CACCTGAAACCCCAGAAGCTACGGCTCTTCAAAAACCGGTATTGTGTTGGACGAATTGGCTCGTTGACTGAAGTGGAGACTAGGTGGTTATGGAGGATTATCAGAGGTGACATGCTGTTTACTCCGTTCTAGTTCTAGTGAAGTTGAGTGTTCAATGTTTGATTGAGCTGCCCACCGAGGTGGGAACGTAAGATGTGATTGAACAACTAGAAATAACAGTAACCAGTCACATTCAATTATCTATCATGTTCTGTGCACGGAAGTTAGGTGTCACAGTGTTCCAAGAGCAATGGAAGGTTCTGCTTGACCACTTTTTGTTTCAAAACTGTGTTGCTATCTTCTAGCGTTTGGTCAACGGCAATTTGGGAGTTTGCATGGTAGAACACTGAGGTACATTAAACTGAATTCCGAAATCATTGTAAGCAATCGTTTTATGCACCATCATAGATTATATTCTTCAGTCCTGACTTTCTTCGATCAAGTGGAATAAATAGCACACAGTTCATCTGTGTCGCACAATTCCGTTTAGTAAGCAGTGGTTACCGGTAAATATTTGAAGATCTGTTGGGTCGTCGATCAGGATGCTCTTATTATCTACCAATGATGTCTTTTCTTAAATGTCGCGGAGGGGTTGAATACCGAGGTTGTTCGATGATTGCTATAAATCGTATAGTGAAACAAATGGTCACAAAGAGTGGCCTGTCTAATACCCAGTTCTGGGGAAGATCCGTTCGTATTTCTACTGGACACTTGCGCGTACAGTTCGAACGTTTCGTGGTTCTGTCATACGTTCCTCCTGTCGATTTGTACTCGCATTCACTATGACCTTCATCCCCTGATTCCTCCGGGTGTCTAACACGTTATAATGATTATTCAGCTGATTTTATGTTTGTGATACTGCTTGGAATTTCTCAGCAAGATAGAATTTGATGCACTGCCTTAAGAAGCACGGTAGTTCGATGGGTGTTGAAGTTACGTCACCCATAATTGTATCTTTGTGCTCTTGTCTATTTCATTAATATGGGAAAATGAATTGATGAGGTGAAAAGATTACTGCTGGACTAAACTCCCATCAGCCCGTGATAGATAATTGTCACAATACTTCACAGTGGAGTCCTAGCGTATTGTTGCTGTGCTGTTCTGCGGAAAAATATTGTGGACTTCTCGAATTGTTGTTCTTCCGTCAGTTCACACCGATTCGGGGCATAGTCGCAACGTGCACGAAAAAAAATATCGTTTCGTCGAACCCTACTTCTCAAAATTCGTGTGGTCTCTCGTTGACTGAATGCTCCGTTAGCGTTGGTAGTTCCAGTTTTGATGCGCGTTTTCGACAAACGGAGTTCCTTACTTCTCTCAGGGAATGCATCAGCTTTCGTATTCTAGCGGATCCGTTAGATGAGTGTGTTCTGTGTTTCTTTCCTATCCAGCCTCCGGAACTTTCGATTCTGATCTCTATTTGATGTCTTCTCCCCGCAAAGACCGCATTATCGGACCATCACTTCGACCGGATGATGTGGCTCCAGCTACCGGAATCGGCCCAGCGATCCCCGTGGAATTATTCCAGTCTAAAATGGTTCGAGATGCCGAAAACGTGGAGGAAGAAGTGGTGGATTTATCGACTATCGGTCCCCTCATTCCAGGACAGGAATTCGGCGACGAGTTACGTCATCTCAGATCAGATGGAGTAAGCATCAGGGGTTTCTTCATCTTCGTCCTCTGTCATCGCTGTAAATTCGACTTGTTTTGTTTATTCTGTCTATTACGATTTCGTCTGTTTGTCTTGTTGGCCTGTGGTCAGTCCCGTGCATTGCATTCATCGAACAGCAGTATTTGACGAGCCAGAGTTTTCGTCATCTATTGGCTACACAGTTTACTTTTACAGTCAGTGGTACCGGATAAGCTGTCACACGTCTCCAGATTCTCTTACTTAGCTTTCTATTTCCAACAATACCGTAAAACCATGAACGATTTCGATTGCTCTTTCCATCGTACATTGTAAATTGGTGTTCATCTGGAGACGGGGGAAGTGTCAAATGCCAAGACGTTTCACTGGTGTGCTCGAGCTTTACGGTGCAGGGTTGAAACCTTACCACCATCAACCAATACAGTTAGTGAATACGTAATGCGGTTACGGATTGTTTATCTCCTGCTTATCCCTTTGGGGAATTATGTCGTTCGTCACTGCTAGTACGAAAACTCAGGTTTCGTGTTCCCATGAGTCAACAGTAGGTCCTCGTTCCTATGGGGCGCTGCTCTTCTACTGTCCATAACACAATGTTATTTTTGCCCCCGGTGGAAACATTGTGCCAATACTGATAAGGTTTGTCGTCTTGTTTTGAAAAGAAAGTCGTTCCATATAGGAGGTAATCGCTCTACACCACCGGTGGCTCGTTCATGTTTTGTGTCTACCTGCCCCATCGTCTACCTCTACGTGCTCTCTTCGCATGTACAGGGAAAGACTGGAAGGAACGTCACAGCGGTCAGGCTGTGACATGGTGTATGTTCAAAAAAAATCAGATTCGGCATTGGCTTCCACTTCGGCAGCTTGTCTTCCGGGTTGGGGCCCAAGGGGTAAGAATTGCCGACGGCTGGAGACGTTGACAGATGTCTCAAAATAGAAGTCCATGGTATGATTGTTGTACGTTTTGTTTGTTTAAACCCAGATTGCAGAGAAGCAGGCCGGGTTTCGTGCACGCCATGGTTGTATAGATGAAATCTTCACCCTCCGTCAGCTACTAGACACCGCTAAGCAGACGGCAAGACCATTGTCGTGTTTTTGGATATCAGAACGGCCTTTGACTCTGTCGATCGCCCGGCGCTGTGGACCTATTTGCGTTGATACGGAGTACCCGAGAAGTATGTTTTACTCCCAAAAGTTCTTTATCACCAGACCTCGAGGAAGTTTAGGCCCTATGGTGAACTTTCACCCTTATTGCCTGTCACCATTGGGGTGCGACAAGATTGTCCTATCTCTTCGTTTCTCCCCAACTTTGCCGTAGATGATGTTCTACAAAACGCGTTACATAACGTAACGAGCGCTGACGTCGAGCTTCTTCCTGGGAACAGAGTCGTAGACTTGGAGTATGTTGATGATATTACTTTACTGGGTGACAATGCACCAACGATTCAAGATTCATTGATTCGTTTGGCAATTGGGGTTACTCGTTGTGGTATGTCCTTTGTACCTTCAAAGTGCAAAGTGTTGTTGCAAAATTGGCAAGAACCCATTCCTGCACTTTCGTTGATTAATGGCACTATGGAAGTAGTCGAAAGCTTTGTCTACCTTGGAAATTGCATGACGGCTGGCGGAGGTGTAGGTGAGATCTCTCAACGCGTGATCAAAGCTAGATTAATATTTGTTAATCTGTGGCATCTCTGGCGCCGGCGCGACATATCCCTTTCACGGAAAGGGCGTGTGCATTGCGCAACGGTACGCACCGTTGCCTTGAGCCTGCGAGACCTGGTCTCTTCGAGCAGATCACGTCCAACGATTATCCATCTTCGACAACCGTTGTCTGCGCAACATCACCCGCGTATGGTGGGAGCATCGCGTGAATAACGATGAAGTCAGACGCCGGGTGCTAGGACCAGATAGTCTTCCTTTGAGCAAAATAATTTCACAGCACTGTCTTAGGTGGTTAGGACAAATCCTACGAATGGCGGAACAACGTCGGCCATGATGTGAACTATGAGCAGACATCAATCTAGGCTGGAAAAAACAGCGAGGTGGGCAGGATATGACGAGGCGCAGAGGGTTAAAAAGCTTGTGCTCGGAACTAGCTTCCGTTGGGGTTTCCCGGCTCCCCGGCTGGG